GTCTGTTTTATAATCCGACAGTTTTTGGTAATGATAAACCGACAAGTTTTACATCTTCAAGCCAGCTGAATATGAGATGAGTATTTGAAGACCAAAATTATTTAACCCGACGCCTTGGAAGCCGACTCAAGTAGATTATTCTTCACAATATTTTTCTGTGAGAAACCAACATCAGAAAATTGAGTATGAAGCTAGCTTATTTGACCCGGGTTTTCTACATGAAGGAAATGACAATTGGAATTAAGGATAATCAGGTCCTGTCTCAGGAGAATATTTAACCCGGAGCACAAGGAATTAAGGATGATCAGGTGCCGGCGTACAAGAATTTTTAACCCGGAGCACAACCTGTCAAATTGTTCTTGAGTTATTTTGCAGGGTTAGTTTAACATGGATAAATCCAGATTAAACTGGGGGCTAATGTCGGGGATATACCCCGCGGTATGACCCGGCCGGATATATGACCCGGCCGGACTTGATGTTTCATTGGTAACCGCCAGAGGATTGGCGACTCACGTGTCCGACGGCTCACTGGTGTGACGACTCATGAGCCTGAAGACTCATGGGTGACCCGGCGGGTGCTTCAGACGGACGACAAGGCCCAAGGACCAATATGCCGGTTCATATAAAGGTGGGCCGGCTTAAGAGGAAAGGGATGACGAATATTTCCTTTACGAGGAAGCAAGACCCGGACTTGTAGTCAACTTGTAAGAAAAGATAGACTAGTCCTAGTCCTACTAGGACTCCACATGTAACCCACCCCTCTAACTTATATAAGGAGGGGCAGGGCTCCCCAAAGAGGGAGAGAAAACAAGAAACAACAATCTCTAGGGCTAGACACAATGAGCCGGCTTACCGGCGACTCCCTCATGAGCATAATGAGACCTAGCCACAAACAGCATGTAGGGTTATTACTGGATGATGTTTCCCGGTGCCTGAAGCTGTCTAAACCCTTGTCTTGCGTGTTGATCCGCCCTGCGTCTCTCGTCCTGCTCAACCCCTCTCAAGCTACCACATAGATGTGTTGGCCTCGCGACTAAGTCCTGACACTAAGGACATCTGACGTGACAATTCCACGACAGGATCAATGGAGCAAACATGTTAAGCAACATCAACAAAATCGAGCAAAGCTGAGTGAACTTGATATTTACCTAAAAGATGATGTTTGCCCGCAAGAAGATGGCTTCGACATACTATGTTGGTGGTCCAATAATGCACACAAGTAACCCCATAGTATCTTGGATATCAAAGGATGTATTGGTTGAACCTGCATCTACTGTAGCATCAGGGTCAACCTTCTCCACTAGAGGAAGAATACTCAGTGACTATAGGACCAAAATGATATGAACCATTGCAGATGCATTAATCTATCTACAAGAATGCGACCTCGCGGTAACAAACTCTCTTTTTAGTGATATTTAGTATTCTTTGGTGTTATGATGATAAAACTTTAACAATTTATTTTCTCTCATTCCAGGAACTAATCATGTGGACACGATAATAAACGATGTTATTTATGGAACACGCACCGATATTGATGGTCATTAATTGCAGCATTAGGTAAGTCTAATCTTGAAGTACATATGTTCATGTACTCATGTCTAGATTTCTGTTTTGTGAGCTGGATTCATAAAAAATTATGTGTCTTGTTAGATCTCCTTTGAAAGTTTTCTCTAGCTTATTAAAGTGGGGATGGATTGGGAAATAAGATAAATGCATGTTCTGTAATCAAGTGATAATGATGAGCACCTTATCGTTGGTTGTGCACTTGCTAGATTTATCTGTGGGATTGCAGAATGCTCAACTTGAAACAGATAGTATGCCCAGTAGTTTGCAGAGTAAGATATGTGGGTTATGAGTTTTTATGCTAAAGCTGGGAAATTTGCAGTTGTTCTTCAGTCCAATTTATACCATGAATATTTGTCAATTTACTATGCAAAGTGAATATGCTACAGAACAGTAACTTGAATGCACTGTCAATTTACTACTTAGTGTGCAAGGTCAATTTATACCATGCCTTTTTTTTCTTCTCCCATTTTAGGCCATGAATGTTGATTTCAGAGAAGTCGGGAAATCACTACTATTTTTTGTTTTAAATTTCAGATACTGGAAACCACTGCTCCTTGGCAAATGCAATTGCTACAAGATTCACCCTGGTTCAAGTAAGGATAAGGCAACCAGAAACCAAGCACCAGCCTGGTTCTCCTACGAGTTTCGAAGATTAATGTGTCAATAGCAATATCTCATAGATGTGTTGTCTGCTGCCTGATGTGAATTCTGTAGATTTTTATTCTTCTATGCCTTATATTCACAGCCTACTTTATAGCTGATGTGTAGCGTTGATTGATACACACATATAGTGCTGATTATCTGAATTTTCCTCTGAGATCCAGGCGATGTGTAGTGTTGATTGATACACACATGTAGCTGGCCGGTAATGCGGGATGCCGCACTGCCCGGCCCTAATTATACCGGTGTGTGGCGGCCACCCGCAAACTCCCACATTAGCCGCACTGTCCCGCTTAGTTCTGTGACGGACACCCGCATCCCGCCCCGCTTGAAACCTGAGAGATGCGGCAAAAATATCACTAAAAAAATGCGGAAAAATGAACAACCAGTTCCATATTGGCTATCTGTCTGTATATCAAAATATAAGACGTTTTTTAAGCTTAGATTGAGCCTAAAACGTCTCTGGCCCATCAAGGCACCAAATACAAGTATGGCAAGTCACCAAAAAAAGAGCTAGTAGGTGGGAAAATATCCGGATTTCAGTTAAGCACTTGATACAAGCTAAATCATGCTATTACCTGGGCATATGCAGCAGGAACAACCGAACTTGAAGAAACTCCAAAAAAATTAGAATCTTCTGCAATACAAGTCACAGTAAATAGTATGTATGCCAGGGAATTATTGTTAGAAGCACGGACGCATTTTTATAATTCCATTTTACTGAAATTTTACACTTACAAGATTCCTTGATGTCTATTCCAGCAATGCATCAATCAACTGCTTAAAAAAGGGCAACCTGATGCATGTAGCTCCCGCTTGCGCAGGGTCCAGGGAAGGGTCCGACCACTTTGGGTCTATAGTACGCAGCCTTTCCCTACATTTCTGTACGAGGCTGTTTCCAGGACTTGAACCCATGACCTCATGGTCACAAGGCAGCAGCTTTACCACTGCGCCAAGGCTCCCCTTCAATCAACTGCTTAAACTAAGTGAAAATTGTAACAAGTCAGAGCTCGCAACTAAGCCACCGGAAGTATAACAAGTCACAAGAAATTTGCTGTCGCCAGTTAGCAGATCTTGTTAGCAAAATGGGATTCTTGCTAAAAGCACAGACACATCTTCAAATATTGAATTCATTCAAAGGTTTCTCTCAACAAATGAACAACACAACAGTCCTGGTTTCTCTCAACAGATGAACAACACAAATTGGTTGATGAGGCCTAGCAGCCAATGCAACTTAGCAGTGTTCCACAGAAAGTATGCAGCAGATGAAAAATCCAAACCTCCATAAAACTCATTAACTCCAGCATCAGGCCAATAATTTCAACGTATCCGAATATCACATATTCATAGGTGAGAATTCCCTCGAAATTTCACATCTCTGCGAGTGAAATCATTATTCCCCTGAACTCGTCTGTGTACCTATTTTGAAATCTTTGCAAAAAAAAAATGTTGTATTTGAAAACAACATATTGAAGCTTGAACTCACTTTATAACTGAATGTTCTGAAAGCCCTAAAAAAACCTGAACGTTCTGAAATGACAGTAGATTACACGATTCATGATATTTGGCAAAGCAGCAGGCTCACTATATCATTCTAATCATTAACCACTCACTATATACGTGAGACAATCTGGCAATAGATTATTTCTACAAACCAATCAAATCAACTGCATTATTTGATTCCCAACTTTCCATGGTCAGTCAACATAAATGCGTTCGACACCGAGCACGACAACCTTGCAGCTTACACGCAAATCTCCCCTGCTGCTGCTGTTGCTGTCACAAAGGCAGTGTGTTAGTCTACATCAAAACGGCATGTTAATCTTGTGCAAATTCTACCCTTTGGTGCAATGCTTTAAGATGCAACTTGTGCTATTCTACTCTTCCAAGAAAACAATTGAAAAACGCAACAACTTTCTTGCAATAAGGTGATTTTATACTCTGAAGAAACAGGAACATAGTTGACACTTGACATTTTCAAATTCAGTTTTCTTGCAACAAGGTGATCTCTTACACGACAATTTTAAGAACTGGACATAAAGTGCAGGTAATATAGAGCAAAACAGTACCGCCGAGCTACACCAGATGAAGAAAGAATGCAAATAACTATTTTTCAAAACTGGTCGATGTTCAGTCAAGCAAGGGTGCAACTGCCTAACATTGTGAACTGAAATACAACTATATTTCTTTACAGAAGTAGTAGCAAGTAACTACATCACCATTAAAGTTAGGTCGGGAACATACTAAAATATAATTAAGCACTTAAAAGCTGATTTATATTATTAGCTGTGCCGCAACAAAGAACAAAGGTTGAAATAAAATAAAATTTGCAACCTAAAAGACAAAGAGATTGTACAGTAAAAAGAACAAGTTTATGAAGGGATCCTTGTTAGAATCACAGATGCATGTCCGAAAATTCATTTCATTCAGAGTTTATTATGATTACTTCCCAGAACTAGCAGTCTTGTGTTTTTCTCTCTGTAAATAAAAAACACAAACACAAACGGTAGACACAAATTAAGCAATGGGACTTAGCAGCAAAGATACCATAGCAGTATTCCATAGAAACTTACAACAGATGAAATCCAATCTACAACAAGATTCATTATCTCCAGATTTGTAGCAATAGTTTTAAAGCATCTAAACGTTTGTATGAGCCTAACCACTACTTAAGATACAAAGGCACTATCCTCTGGATTTCAATGCCAACTAGATATTATTTTGCATCAACAAAGTAATTAATAATTGTAAACTCATACCCACAACTGCAGATTTTAGTGAGAACCTTCAACTTCATGCCCAGTGGCCCCATCATCACCAATCAAACAAGGAGGCCAGGCCATAATATACGGATAGGCATAGTCATCAAATGTCCCATTGATCAGTAACTCAATCTCCGTGGTCCCCAATGAATGGTAGAATAACCAGCTGCGTTGTGTGCCAGCAGGGGTTATGCATGTCAAGTACAAGTACACGCATCCAGACCTAGCTTGCACAACTCTGAGTTTGCCCTCCGATTCCCCACTCGTCCGGTCAATCTCTGCGCTCAATGAGAGTATGAGCTGCGGCACCCAAATCCCAATTCCATCACCGTCCACACCACGGATCCAAGCATGGAGGTAAAAATCATCAGATGCATATAGCATGCAGAGCTCTCCATCCTTAGTGTCCCCAACGATGAAATCCGCCTGTCCGTAATCAATTACCCGCGAGGGTAGATCCAGAGAGGAGAAATCCATGGTGGCTGTGTTTATCTTAATCACACTTCTTCCCTCATAGAAAGGGCAGTAAACGGAGCCATCCACCAGCGTGTTAGCACCGTACATTAGGCCATACTCACGGCCGATTTCCGCCCATGGGTGGATGACCCAATCCCTCGTCCCCGACGAGAAGACGGCGGCGCGAACCCTAGACACGTCGGCGCAGACGCAGACCACGCCGAACGACCTAGGGTTCTCCTCGGAAGACAGCAATAGGAAGCTAAGGAAGGCGAATTCGCTGGTACCCCCGTCCACGACGTCGTCGGGCACCGGGATGGTGTCCACCTCCCAGGTCATGGGGTTCACCGCGGCCACGGCCCGGAAGGTGTTCCACAAGAGGATGTAGCCGTGGCGGCAGTCCGTGACGGTCCAGCCCCTGGGCGCGACGTCGCCCAGCGGGAGGGAGGTGAGGAAGAAGTCGCCGCGGCGGAGGGCGGCGATGACGTCCGGATCTGAGCGGCGCAAGGGGGCGAAGGAGGGGGCGGTGCTGTCGTCGACCTCGAGGAAGATCCCGAGGGGGGGCGCCGGGTGGAGGGCGCGGAAGAGGCGGCGGAAGGGCCGGGAGGAGCGGACGGCGCCGAGCCAGGAGCGGCAGGTGAGCGCGGCGCGGACGAGGGCTGGCAGGCTGGGCAGCCGGAGGAAGATCTCCAGGAGCTGGTCTTGGCCCAGCGAGGATATGGTTGTGGTTCCGTCGCCGGCGGTGGCGAGGGTGGTGGTGGTGGTGGTGGCCGTGGAGGGGATCGACGGAGGTTTGGCTGCTGGCGCAGCCGCCGCCGGCGGCGGCAGCTCGCTGCTCATTGCTGGAGAGTGGACTCGATGGAGATTCTGGATCCCTGGCCTTTTTTTTCTTAGCAAAATCTGGATCAGTACGAATGGACTAAACCCATCTTAGGCTTCATGGTTTGGGCCCATGTACGCAGTAGTCCAAGTAGCCCATGCTTTACAATTCTCTCTCGAAAAAAAAGCCCATGATTTAGAATTAGACACAGTAAAAAAAATTGTTATCTAAAAAAAACAGTAATTTTTTTGGGGGAGCTCTATAGGACGCTCTATGCACGAGATCACTAGTTCAAGGTTACCCTACATTTCACCTTCTCTGATGCTGACACGTGACACATTGCATGTGCGCCACTTGTGCAACCATGGAGTTTTCCTTTTTTTTTTTCAAAATGGTGTATCTCTTGAACCGTGCATCCAAGTAACAAACGTTTTCATTGTTGAATTTCTCGCCTCGAGATCTTCAAAAATAGATACCATGTTAATAGATTCCGACGAACTTCTTTGGCGGGAAAAAATCGGGAACAAAAACCAGAATTTTAAAAATAAAAAATGATAAAAACCAAACAAAAAACCCCCAAAAATCCAAAAAAAGAAACTAACAAAAGAAATCCGAAAGCACGGTCATGCTTTTTCACCTTTTTTAGGAAGTACAACCGTGGAAGCATAGCTGAGCTTCTCTTATGGAAGCATAGGGTATACTTCTTGCAACAACACAATTGTACTTCTTGTCTAATCATAAATGTGTTTCTCGTGGAAAAATAGGTTGTGCTTCTCACGGAAATACATCTGCGCCTTTCCATTATCGGAAGCACGGATGTGATTCTCATGGAAGGACAAACTATGTTTTCCCTTTTCAGGAAGCATAATTGTGTTTCTCGCAGAGAAAGCGCTGCCTAACAAAATAAATAGATAAAATTTAAAAATTCACCAAAACCTAGAAAATCCAGTCAAA